GTAACTTTTTAAAATTGCGATTTGACCCCCGATTTTTTATTTTTCTTTCAAAAATAACTCCATAATCTAAATTTTCACCCATTTTCCACAAAATTGTTTTCAATTAAATTCCTAACCAATTTTTATCATTTTTATTATTATTATTATTATTATTTTCATTAAATCAAATTAAAATTAAATAAATTAAATTAAAATCATATAAATAATAATTATAGTTATATATAAAAATAATAATAATTATTATTTTTTTTAAAAAAAAGAAAGGTTGGGTGTTACATCCTAGTTTGATAATCGATAAGAAAGTGGAGGAAGGATACTATTTTTCGTCATTGTTTTAGAAGAAAATGTAAATTTTTCTGTCCTTGTTTTATATAAGGATTAAATTAAATAAATATTAATTTTTGTTAGCATCATATCATTTACATATAAAAGAACGTAAATTTTAATTTATTAATTTGGTTATCGAGAACGAAGTGGAGTAGGGACGTTATTCTCCCTACTCGTTTTTAAATAAAAATGTGGATTTTTATCATTTTTATTTTGAGTAAAATTGAGAGTTGACCTATTATAATTGGAGAATTTTAGTAAACTTTCAGTGTTATTAAAAATTCGTATCCTGAATGATGGGAATGGTTATGACAATGATTGATGGTAAATATGACAATACAAATAATAATAACAATAATAGTGACAACGAAAAATAAAAATTGACTGTGGCAAATATAACAAAAATAATAATGAAAATGGTGAACACGATAATATCATTGATAATGTCAGTATTGAAATTATAAAGACAACAACAACGACGACGGTAGTGTCAACATTAATAACAAAATTAACAGTGATTATGCCAATAAAGATGGTAGTGAAAATAATAATAATAATAACAGTAGTAGTGATAATAATAGTAACAGTAACAATAATATCAATGGCGAAAATAAATATTGAATTATCGAATTTTTATTATTTATATAAATTTAAAAATTAAAAATTTATATTAATTTTTATGATTTTAAAAACAAAAAATCATATCATCAGGAAAAAGTGACATGAAATTTGAATAATTGTATTTGAAATTTTTACAAATAAATTGAATAATTTGAGAAAATTAAGATACATTGTATCTGGACACCTAACAGATTCATTGAACCTGGACATTCCAAAATTAAGAACAACAGTCTTTCTATATTGTTTGAGTATATTCTGCTTCTATTCTCCGCATTTGTGTATAATCATCAAGACATGTGGATAAGACATCCACGTCAGCCACAACTTTGTCTGCCACGTGGAAAGCGTGGTTCGCCTCGAGCTCTACACGTGGACACTCAAACTAGCGCGTGGCATGATATACTTGCGTCGTGAACTGGATGACTTAGTTTTCGTGACGTTTTATTTTTTTTTATTTTATTTCAAGTTAATGCTTCAACGACGTTAAATTATTGTCAGGAAGAAACGGAAAATTAACCAGCGCTTGACTGAGAGAAATTATTGTGCGGGAAGGTGTGGAACCCAACCGTGCTCCCTCCTATCTTAACGTTCAACTGGTATGAGTACAAAATGTCGTCATCGTGATAGATGAAAAAATCATGTGAAATTAATTCAATAAATCAATCATTATTTCCTCAAACAAGATGAATCAATCACCAATAATAATGGTAAGACATTTTTATTTTACTTAAATATTTATTTATTAACTTATAATTATATTATAAATTTATACAATTACATAATTATTGAATATTTTATAAAATCATTATACTAATAATATAGTAAAATTGTTAATATCATAATATTTTACTTTAATATTAATATCATAATATTTTATTTAAATAATACGAGTTCAAATTTCACTAATAACGTAAAATTCATTATTTTATAAATATATTACGAGTTGGTTTTGACTAATTTTTAACGTCCGATCATATTTGATCAAAAAAATAATTTATTAATACATTAGTCAAATTATTATTACTAAATTAAACTAACTATTAAAAAAAATATATTATTTATAAACGAAAAGAATATTTCGTTTAATGTTATATAGTTCGAATATAATTGACAACATACGATTCTCAGTTTTATAAATATATTACAAGTTAGTTGTAACGGCCCCGAAAATTTAAAATAAAATGTATATTAAAAATATCAAATGCGGAAGCGAAGTCAAAATTTGAATAACATCCCTTACACTAAAAACTAAAAACGTGTTCACAAAATATAAAAGATCAAACTACCTAAAGGAGAAACTTGAAAGTAAAAGCTACGAATATGACTATGGAGTCCTTAGGCGTCTCATTCGTCGTCCTCCTGCGGAACCGGCTCGAGAACGATGTCCTCTTGATCTGAAATGATTAAATAAGGAATGAGCTACACTAGCCCAGTAAAGACATCACGATATCTCACCGTCACGGAGGTAAAGGTGGGTAAAAAACACAAAAAAGACCAATGGAGCATAATTTACAACAAATCCTTTTATCAATAATAAAACCTTTACCACTCACTTACATCGATAGAATCCATAAAACAGTGTACGAAAGCAATAACATCATCATCATCATGAAATCATATATAAATTGTATAACATAATACTTATCAAGCTTTTCATAATTCAATCGTTACACAACATATTTTCCTTATTTACCAGCCCACTAATATCCATGAGGATCCATAGGGGTCCCGCTACCCGTTAACCCTTAACACTTGAAATCATTTTTCCAGGGCCGTCCCCATACCCCGTCCGGTATGGGCGCCAAAACTATAAACCTCATTACCCCGTCCGGTATGAGGGTGAAACGGGCCGTCCCCATACCCCGTCCGGTATGGGCGCCAAAACACATAAGATCTCCATACCCCGTCCGGTATGGGAGACCACAATCCCGGTAGGGTTCCCTACGGACCCCGTCCGTCCACCATCTCCCAGGATATCTAGTCAGGCTGACCACA